CATGCCCGTTGCTGGTTGGCTAACTAGCAACAGGGTCTTGCCAGCCAATGGAATTGTGTGATTACAAGCCAGGGGAATCCCATAAAAGAGGGCTCCCCTGGCCCAGAGAGCCAGTCCGGATTTACTTGATGCCTTGCCAATAAACCGAGAGCTGACTGTCACTCGACTCGTGTCTTACTGCCTGCGCGATCTAACATTGCCTACTTCATTGAAATTCTATTCTTCTTCCAATAATATATATGGAATACAAAACTCTGTTTTATTATCCCAACAGATTACAACAGATTGCTGATGTTGTGAGTATGGATAATAATGAACAGAGATTTTCAATGCATCTTCTGTGCTAAGGATAAGACCATAGCTCAAGGCTGGCACTCTCCTTTATAATGGCATGTGGGAATTATCTTAGGAAGCCAGGTGAATGGTCAGATAAGAGACAGCATAGCCTACAGCTCCATAATAGGAAGGGCAAGAGACTGAGGAGGGACTTTCCCTAAATTATCATGCTGTAAAGGAGATGGCAAGAGAATTGTATTTTCATGCTAATGTAGCTTTACACTAGAGTGGTATTAGTTTATCCAGTCTTGTTTTTTGTCTAGTCCACCTGATAAAGCTGACACCATTATTGGAGGTTAATTCTGCTGAATGCCAGCAGTTCAATTCTGACCAGCTCAAGGTTGACTCAGCCTTCCATCCTTCTGAGGTCGGTAAAATGAGGACCCAGATTGTTGGGGGCAATATGCTGACTCTGTAAACCACTTAGAGAGGGCTGTAAATCACTGTGAAGCGGTATATAAGTCTAAGTGCTATTGCTATTTTGGATATTCCAGAACACTGTATTTAACTATAGTGAAAAGATCATATGATTAAAAAGGCAAAAGATGCTGTAATGTAAGCCAGGTCAGGCAAGCTGCAAGCCACAAATGACCTCCCAAGAGGAGACTTTCTGGCTAACTGGAAACAGTGTATTTTTCTGTCCAATTTGATTGCAAACAGCTGTTCAGAAGCTGAAAAGATAATTTAAATGCTTGTTTGTGTCTTTTGTGCTTGCCTGAAAGTGGACTATGTTTTGATGTTCTTCATTTATTGTTAAAAAATGGCCCAGTCTGCTCGGCAGACTAGTGCTGGCCCAAATTTAAAAAAAATGTATGCAAAGAGCAGTTCTGGCAGTAAAAGTTTATCTGTCTTGAAATGTTTTAACAAATGGACTTGGCTGATCTCAGAAGGCATGTAGGGTCAGCCCTGATTAGTATTTGGATCCGGAGGATTATGGAATGCCATGCTTGTTAGCTAGATTAGGAAATCAAAGAAACCACAAAACAATGGCAAACTTTCATAAAGTTGCCAAAAAAGCTTCACAGTCAGAATCATCAAGAGTTAAGCTCGACTTGAGAGTTTCTTTACTTTTTAGCACAAGTGGTCTATTTAATAGTAGAGGAAGGTGCTTTATACTGAGTCATGCCAATGACATTGATACACTTCAGACTGGGTAAATGGTCATAGTTCTAAGAACCCTTAGTTGAACCTATAATCTTTAGAAAACAAAGCTGGTTGTGATCTCTTGTAGAGCTGATATGCAACCATAAATAATCATTTTCTGGGAGCAATATAATGGCTGAGGGTTCCCTGACAGACAATACATAAGCATAACATGTACTCCTAGGTCAGTCACTAAGTGGCAGGAAAGAGATAGATAAGTTTCTGTATTGTTGGTGCTATCTAGGAATCATCAGGATTTTTTCAACCCACTTCTAATACGGAAGGGGACAATTCACCATGACCATCTCGCTGCGGGACAACTTGTTGCAGGACAATTTAACAATTCGATTTAATTATTTGAAATAAATAAAAAAATGTTGTAATTTTTGTCATTCATATTTCACCCTGTCCTTCCTTTTGCATCCTTTTTTAATGATTCCATCCCACCATTTCTTTGATATTTGTGTAACTCTTGTCCCGCAGTGAATTATCTCATGGTTGCCTGCAGCAAGTTGCCTGTGGCAAGTTGGCTGTGGTGAATTGGCCATGGCGAGTTGGCCATAGTGAATTATCATAGACTCCATCCAATAACCCAAGTACTAGCACAATTTTCTGGCAGTACTGCACTCCCAGGAGAGCATTCTGAGCTGCTGCCTTTTCTCCCTAGCAGAAGCTTGTCAGGGAAACCACAAGCACTGGAACACATGAAACCCTGAAGTCTTTAACTAATGAATCAAGTTGGAATGGAGACCCAGTTTGGTATGATGGTTAAAGCATCAGGCTACAATCCAGGAGACCGTGAGTTCTAGTCTATCTTATGGACAAAGCCAGATTGACCTTGGGCCAGTCATTTTCTCTCAGCCTTAGAAAGTAGACAATGGTAAACCACTTCTGAAACTTTGCCAAGAGAACTGAAGGAACTTTCCAATCAGTCAGTAGTATAGATTGACTTGAAGGCACAAAAAAAAGTTAGAATAGGGAGAGGCATCTGAGAGGCTTGTTTTAGGGTTTAAAGAATTCTATGCCCCTGAGTCATAACAGGTTCTGTATCATCTATATCAGGGCTTTTCAACCAATGGTATGGGTACCACCTGTGGTACATTGGCACCTGGCAGGTGGTATACAAACATCCTAGAAAAGTAGTGGGGAAGGGGAATGAGCTGAACCGGTGGCAGCACCGCACAAGCCTGAGCGAGAGATGGCTGGAGCTGCAGGGCTGCCAGGGCTCAGCAGAAGTGCCAGGATCAGCGCCAGGCTCCAGCTAGAGCTCGGTGCTGATCCTGGTGCTTCTGCTGAGCCCAGAAGAAGCATTGATCAGTTGGAATGTTGCAGCATCTCCAGGTTTTTGTGATTTACATTCAGATGCTTGGCAACTGATTCATATTTATGATGGTCACAGTGTCCCAGGGTCATGTGAAGTGACCAAACCCTGCTGCAACCACCCAGCAGACTGGGGGAATAAAAACCAAACACCCCCTCATCCCATCCCCGCTGCCAATCCTCAACAGAAATGCTCACAACAATGGAAACCTCAGACTGGAGGAAGAGCGCCGCCGGGTGGGCAGGCAGGTGTCTTGTTCAGCTGTGGCTTGGGGTGCACTTTTTTCAGTGCCATTGTAACTTCGAACAGTCACTAAGCGAACTGTTTTAAGTCGAGGACTACCTGTACTTTATCACTTTTTTCCTTTTGGGGGGGGGGTCATCAAGTTTTTGACACCTTGCTAGGCGACTGGTGGTACTCGGATATTGCCATATCCTAAAAATGGTACAATGGATGAAAAGGTTGAAAAGCCCTGATCTATATTGACAAGCAGGTTTTCATAATCTTAGATAAGAATTCTTTCTTGTCCAACCTAAAGATGGCTGAAATTACTTCATCTAAAGCTGGTATTACTGCCTTTTTTCAGTCGACATAATGTGGAAAGAGCATATAGAGGATTCTGAGTATGTGCCATAAATCAGCCTCAAGAGCACTTACCTGAGTTGATGGCCTGTCCTTGCAATGTTGGCAGCTGAAGAAGTAAAAGGAGGAACAGAGAGATGGGCAGAAATGAGGAGGCCTGAGAAAGCTAAAATGAAAAAGCATGACTTGTCATCCAAGGTACATACTGAAGAAAGAGGCACCTTATTATTAACAATAATATAATTGTCATTGTTTTATAAAGATCTGCAAATAGAAGTAGAATGAATGTGACAAAGGAAAGCAAAGATATTACAGACAGGCAACTTGGATGCAATTCCAAAACATTTGGAACACTACTTGAACACTATCAGTATTGACAAAATCACCACCAGTAAATTGCAGAAGGCAGCTTTACTTGGAACAACTTACAACTTGTGACAATATATTATTATTAAACAACAATATCTGCCTATCTCAGGTCCTTGGAAAGGACTTGTTGGATGGACAAAAATGCCAAATCTAGTCTAAACATCTGTCTGACTGTGTGATTATAATATACAGTATATACTGCCTAATTCAGAGCAAGTCTTTCTGGCTGGGAAAGACACTGTCCTAATATAATTGGCATTGTCTACCAAGAAAAATAAAAACAGAAATCTGAAATGTGTGCTTAACTTGCCCAGGGCTTATTTATGTTGAACCCTTTCTTTTGGTCATTTTCACATTAAATATTACCGTGGCAAAAGATAAAAATCAGATTTTGCTGTCTCAAATGAAAAATGTGAATGAACATTTTCTTGGGTTCAGAAGCTTGCTGAAGGCCCAACAAACTTCTTTGTTAGTGATGATATGAGCTCTAGTGCTCAAAGTTTTATGGCAATGTAAAAAGAGAGAGAGTGTGAGAGAGAGAAATGGATTCATTGGTTGAATATAGAGAAATATTAGTTAGAGATGGAAATATATCACAATATAAACCTGGCAGTTGAAGCTTGAAAAGTTGCCTACTTATTTATTAGTCACAGCAGTGCCTGTAGAAGGAACAAAAGGAATCAGGTTGATGAAAGTGGCCTTGTTGTGGTGCAATACAAACCCTGCCCCTTTTGTAAGTGTGTTGCAATCTTGCATGCCTGCTCCAAAGGGGAAGATCTTGCAGTATGGTGCTGGAATGTGGCTTTTGTCATTGTGAGGCAAACAGCAAGAAACGTGGATACTGCTAGAGAACTTGATTTGGAGACATTACCTCATGATGACGGGTCTAATGTTCAGGTCACAAGAAGCCCTAAATATTAAGATTCAGAAACTGGCAAATAGATGCTTTTCCCTCTCTGGTCCAACATTAATTAATATTTGTTAGTTCCAAAAGTGGGAGAATTTAGAAGGAAAACTCCAAAGTTCATCTACCATTATTCATATTCATATTCTCTTTAACTTTGACAATCTTTCAACAATTCACAGGTTAGATAGTTTAGGTAGAAACTTTTGTGTACTCTGTTGTTTTTCTTGGCCTCAGAAGTTTATTTTGGCTGTGGCCTGACATCGAAGAGAAAAATGCATCACAAAAACATTTTAACCAGATTTGCCAATTTGTTGAATGTATACATGTTCCAGTTACTTACTTTTTAAATAAAATATTTACATACTATATTCTGGTTTGCTGCTGTTGTTATTATTGTCTGTTTTGTTTTAAAGTTTGTGAATTTGCATCCTACTTGTAAAACAAAATAGGTATCTATCTGCTTTTCTGGAAATACACTGTACTCTTGCTAAATGAAGAACCAATGAAGAAGATATGGGGATTAGAATGAAAAATTACATATAGTTAAGCTGCATGTATTCTTTTATTTGAAGCTCTGACCTATAGTGTATAGGTAGTCCTCAATGTATGGCCATAATTGAGCCCCAAATTTTTGTTGCTAAGTGAGAAATTTGTTAAGTGAGCTTTGTCACATTTTACGACTTTTCTTGCCATGTTTGTTAAGTGAAACACTGCAGTTGTTAAATTAGTAAAATGGTAGTTAAGTTAATATGGTTTCCCCATTGACTTTGCTTGTCAGAAAGTTGCAAAAGGTGATCACGTGACCCCCGGACACTGCAACAGTCATAAATGTGAGTCAGTTGTCAAGCATCCAAATGTAAATCACGTGATTATGGGGATGCTGCAACAGTCATAAGTGTGAAAAATGCTCATAAGTCACTTTTTTCAATGCCGTTGTAACTTCAAATGGTCATTAAATGAACTGCTGTAAGTCGAGGACTACCTGTATAGCAATGTTTCTCAACCTTAGCAACTTGAAGATGTATGGACTTCAACTCTCAGAATTCCCCAGCCAATTGAAGTCCACACATCTTTAAGTTGCCAACGTTAAGTAACACTGTTGTATAGTGTTGCTCATTTTCTCATTAATGTATTTAAGATTGTAGTCAAGCCCTTAAAGAAATTAGGATGAAATCATAGCTCATCTCTAGAATACCTTCAGTAAGATTTGCAAGCAAGCAAAAAACAATGCATATGAAACATTGAGGAAGTTCTTTCTGTCTCGACATCATGTCCCCCAGTCATCCCTCCAACCAGTTTATATTTAGGGGGTCACATGTCAGACTATGAAGTATAACAAGTAGGTAACCTTAAGTTTGATTCTGGCATGAATACAGAAAAGCTCTCTACAATAAACAGTATTCTACTAGAATATAAATTGATGTGTGGAATGGAAACTGGGATGATAGTCTCCATTCCTGATGAAACTATGCAGAAGTACATTCATGCAAAATATGGGCCAGCAAGCTTTCTTCATGCAATCAACAGTCAGTATTCTAGATATTCTATACATATGAAGTTACATGGTCAGAGATACTCTAGAGATCAGAAGGAGCACATCTGACTCAATTGCAGCTTTGATTACAAATGTCTGAAAAAAGATATTCCCATACTATAGTTCATACAGTCATATTGGTTCACATTCATTTTTTAAAATAACCTGCAGCTTCTCATTCTGTCCATTTCTCATTAATCATTTTGCTCTGTGAAAATTAATATTCCCATATCTCTTTTCATTTATAGGGAATCAGGGCAATTTTCCTCTCCTCCCCATTAATTTTGCAAAGTATTTTGTATGAAATGATTCATTTCATAGAATCGTATTAGGTACTAATTAGATATTGAGAAGATTTACCCTGATCAATTAGCCCTTGTAATTTCACTATCTTGGATATGAAGGAAACCATTTCTCTTTTGTTACAGAACAAAAATAGAGTAGCTAAGCAGTCCATGATTCAATATGTCTTTGGAAAGCAATCCCTTAATAGTATTACAGAGAGAGAAAGTAAACATCCCTTTTGTTTAAGGAATCAACTTCATGATAGGGAAAACAAATGTCAGGATTTAAGAAGACAAGGAAATCCAGCCATATCAAAAGAAAGGTCTGTTTCGTTTAGCATTTTTCTTCCCTACAATGACTAAATAGAATCCTTCAGGAATGTCTTGGCAAAATGTTTGTCACATCTATCATACATCTGTATTGGGAGGATATCTTTACAATGTATTAATTTTATATCCTGCCTTTACTCCAGGAATACATAGAGAGATCTTCCTTCATTTAATCCTCACAGCTAAAACCTAGTGAAGTAGGCTGGGCCCAGAGAAAGGGACTGGCCAAAAGTTACCCAGTGAGATTTAATGGCTGATTCTACCTAAAGACAAAGTAGACATGAATCTGTCAAGCCCTAATCTTAGTCCAACACCTTAATCCCTCCACCATTCTGGGTCTCAGTTCTCACATTCAGCCATCATATCTAAAAGTTACTGAAGCTGGCTTTCCCCATTTCTTCTAACTGCAAATTTCATTCATCACATATGACATTGAAATAGACCATTACAAAAATTAATTTGATTGGGAGTGAGGAGAGAATACCAAAGTCCAAATGGGGGAAAAAAAATCAAACCTTAGTTCACAGCCTAATTCACCTCCCTTCCAAAATTATCTGTTGCCCCCAAGCTTCAGATTCTTCACTGACTTACCTTCATGTTGTTCTGTGGTTCCTGAGCTGACACTTCTGTGGCTCTGTGTATAGAACTTTCTGTTTTCTTTTGAAGCTGCTTCTTTCAGTCTCCTTTGCAGGCCTTTAGCTGTACACCTCCCACCCACACTGCTCCTGCCCACTAACATACCCCAAGCCAAGGAACAGACATGATGTGTAAATTCTGGATTTATAGCCCAAAGAAAAGTTGGGAGGGGAAAAGGGGGGGCAAGAATGTGTTATAGAAAAGCAAGGCAGGAAATGAAAAATTGGAGAGAAGAGGGGAAACATGGAACAAGCCAAGAGCTAGATGTTTTCCAGGCTCTTGGCATGAACATAATGTTGTAATATGCCTTTCTCACATATGTGCAAGCAGACTTCCCCCACATCTCTCTCTGTCTCTGTGTTTGTATGAACATATTGGAAAAGGTGTTAAATTTTAACTTTAGATGGGAGAAAATATTCTTCAGAGCCAGAACATTTGGGTGGATTTTATGAAGTCCCAAAGAGGGACTTCCAGTGAAATAAAAAATGATGATATTGAAGTTAGTATTCTTTACTGTGAAAGAAGGGTGTGACATAGTAATGGCTCAAAACCTAGAGTTCTTGCTCACAGACATGTTAAAAGGAGCTAGTAGAAAACTATACCAGCATAAAATGTGTTGCTTCCACTGGTGATTCACAACCTCCCAGAAGTACAATGATAGCAAAAGTTGTTTCCTTATTTTCAGAGTTCAATGGATTCATCAGGTTTTGTTTCCCTTGCCTGTCAACAAATGTTATTAGCCAGTAGAAAAATATAACTCTCTTTTATGTAGGCTGAGACAAGGGAAGGACTAGAATTTTAACAGATATCTATATCAGTGAATCTAATTTCTCTGTTATCTGTCAAAAACTGCACTGGGTTTCCACAAGAAATGAGTCATAAGACTTGCCATAGCATTCCTCTGGAAGAGAGGCACCACAAACCCACATTGAAAAATGATACCCCTGGTTATCAAGTAATGTCAGAAAAATCACTAAACTTGTTATACTGCGAAGAAGCAGAGAGTCACCTCTTCTACCCCCCCCCCCTCTCTCTTGCTTCACTACAGCAGGTTATTAACTCTCTAAACTGATTCAGATCTCCACTATTCATGATTTATTTTCTTAGAATATCTCTATCTTGCTTTGAAAACAATGCCATGCCTGGTGGCTTTCATAGGCATTCTCAAGAGGGAGGCAAGTGAGGAAATATCATGATGCAAATTCCATTCAGTTTCTGTCATCTTTGCAATCTTTATTTTTCTTATTTTTGTTTCTTATTGCATTTGTTTTAAAAAAAATTCTTTTCTTGTGAGTCTTCCAAAATCATTGGTAGTCAGTGGCATATATTTTTGATAGACACATAGATAACGACTTTAAAATGTGTGATCTTCAACTTTCAAAATTCCCTAGTCAGCTATAGTATGATTGGTAATACAGGTAACACATGTACTTCATTACAGGAGTTCATTTATCCTGCTGAAAAAGACAAAAGGGTGTTGGACTTTTTTTTTAACATAGAAAAATATTGAGGTATTCAAGGCAAAGATTCACATTTCAATTTTGTTTCTACAAATGGAACCAGGTGGATGGTTTAATGGGTGTAGAAGTGTATTTTCACCCATATCTATAGGAATGTCAAAATTTACAAACAATTTGGCAATTGCTAATGCAAATGTTTTCTATTCTTAGGTATATTCTAAATTCAAACAGATAATTAGGGGCTGCTACAAAGAAGAGGGGGGGGGCTGCCATAAAGAAGAGGGCATTAATCCATTCTCAACCCAAAGGGGCTGCCACAAAGAAGAGGGGAATCAACCTATTCTCCAAAGCACCTGAAGACAGGAAGGACAAGAAGCCATGGATAGAAACTAATCAAGGAGAGAAGCAAGCTAGAACTAAGGAAAAATTTCCTGACATTTAGAACAATTAATCAGTGGAACAACCTGCCTCCAGAAGTTGTGTGTTTTTAAGAAGACTTTGGACAGCCATTTGTTTGGAAAGGTACAGGGTTTCTGACTTGTGCAGGGGATTGGACTAGAAGACCACCAGGGTTCCTTCCAACTCTGTTAGTCTGTTATTACAATAATCTACTACAGGATTATGAAACATACCAACAATTCAGACAAAACTATTCCCATCATCTGTCTTCTAAAACTTTCTGAACTTTGGTGGACTATTTCTGGGGCTTTCTACATATATAGTATATGATATTAATCTGATATTTCTTTTTGAATCACATTAGAAAATCAACGGAATGTACTAGGAAATTACACATATAAAGTTCTCCACCACTGGTACATATTACATCCTAAAAGTAATTGTTTTCATGATCCACTTGGAACTGCATAGCATTTCTATGTATAGAACATTCTTAGCCTTCCCTAACATAATACATAACAATGAATACTGTCCAGATTCATTGGAGGGTATTTGCAAACTTCCACTATCTCCAGCCAGCATGGCTGTTTCCATCATTCTCTGCCAGAAAGGTGATTGGTTATGGGGCTGGAACAACAGGATTCAATTTCCAACACATCTGGTGGGCATCAGGCTGGGAAAGGCTCATCTATGTAATGAAATATATGTGCCTGGCAGGGGAAGGAATTAAATCTTAACAAAGATAGATTCCAACATGTTTTTCTTTCTTTTAGTCTTTTTCTTTTCTAAAAATGAAACCGTGTTTCTCAACAAACATTTAAGGTGTTGTGTTCTTTGTATTCCCCCCCCCTTAATCCCCTATGCATATCCTGATCACCCATTAAGGGTGATTGCCCTTCACCATTGATTGCCCATTAAGGGTGATTGCCCTTCACCATTGATCGCCCATTAAGGGTGATTGCCCTTCTCCATCTGCATACAGTTTCATGCCCGTTGCTGGTTGGCTAACTAGCAACAGGG